AACTCATTTGGGTTGAGCGCTGGTCTGATACAGGCATTGAAGTCTCTATATAGGGACTCTAGTGCTTGTGTCAGGTTCAACGGGGCCTACTCGGACTGGTTTGACATCCACAAAGGTGTCAGACAGGGCTGTGTGGCTTCCCCGTGGTTGTTCAACCTATTTATGGACAGTTGTTTGGAAAATTTGAAAGTAGAAGAATGCGGGTTTAGAATGGGTGAGTTAACCGTCAAATGCCTTTTGTACGCCGAGTCATACTTGCGTCGTCGGCAGCCGAGTTGCAAATGATGGTTACATTAATGAACAGGACACTAAAAGAAAAGGGAATGAAAGTGAACGCAAGTAAGACGAAAGTTATGGTTTTTGAAAGAGAAGAAAGTAAAACGATATGTGAAATAAGAATAGAAGGGGAGTTGGTAGAGCAAGTAGATGAGTTTGTATATTTGGGATGTGTGTTTAGCAGGGATGGTAGATATGATAAGGATATAGAACGACGAGTGAATGCAGGAAATAGAGTGAATGGGGCTCTACACTCTATTGTGAAAAGTCAGAATGTGTCCAAAAAGGCACGTATGGCAATTCACAATGCTGTGGTAGTACTTACTTTAATGTATGGTAGTGAAAGTTGGGTGTGGCAGAAGAAGCATGAGACTAGAATAAATGCTGTAGAAATGCGGTCATTAAGGAGTATGTTAGGGATGAAGCTGAATGACAGAGTGAGAAATTGTTTAATAAGAGAAGAGTGTGGTTTGCAAGATGATGTTGTGACCAGGATTAAGAAAGGAATGCTTCGGTGGTTTGGCCATATAGAAAGAATGAATGAGGAAAGAGTGACAAAGCAAATTTATGTTGTAGAGGTGAACGGCATAGTCGCGAAGGGTCGCCCTAGGCGAAAGTTTATCGACCAAATTGGGGATATATTAAAAATGGGCCAAATCAAGAGTACCTTTAACCGACGAGCGTGTATGCGTAGGTATATGGATGTGGAGGAAGCGAGAGAGGTGTGTCAGGATCGTGCCAAATGAAAGTCCATAATCTCTGCCTACCCCTCTGGGTGACAGGCGTGAGTGTTTATGTTTATGTTTATGTATGTTTATATGTTAATCTTGTTGTAAAGTAAAACTAAAATAACATCTAGAAATAAATCCACCAAGAAAATATAGCTGAAGTAATATATTCGAATATATAAACAACGGAAATAATTCCTCAATGCCGAATATGCCTCAATTTATTTTCCTTTAACGGAAGTCAAGCTTTTTATGTCAAAATATACTACTATTAATTTCCCCAAGCATTGGATCTTTCTTTTCAATTTCCGCTATACAATGATGATGTACAAAAAAAATTGTAAATCACCATTAACCTCACCATAAACATTACCCGGATATGTTAGAATATAGTAAGATGGGTGTGATCGATAAATGGTTATATTATATAAATCTAAATTGGTAAGTCATAAGTTTTACTGCGAGCAAAAATTTTGTTTCGAAAGCATAAAACTGATAAACGAGTTACAAGGCCGATAGTTTAACACCTAATTGTTACGGCCACAGCTGTAGGCCGTAACAATTAGGTTCGTTAAATTTGGCATTTATATTTTACTTAAAAGTTTAATTTAAACTATCGGCCTTGTAACTCGTTTATCAGTTTTAATTATTAATTATTTTAATAATTTAAACTATCGGCTATAAATAGGGAACTTACGCGATCTCTTAATGAGTCATACGGTTCAGCGTTAAACACAACTAAGTTCCTTCATTCGACACTAAAAAACCACGCTCTGCTACCAAAAAATGTACACGGTACACACAATCAACCGGAAGACGCTTTCGACCAAGGAATGCGCGGTTCGAATCCTAGATCGTATATCTATACGGCGCGCGCGTGCACAATTCCGCATCACACGAACAAGTTAAATATTGCAAAATTTACATATCCACTAGCGAAGTAACACGCACTAAATCTAACTATCTGGACCCTACACGGTCGCGTGAACTTCGGCCGCGATAATCGAGATACGCGGATTCACCGCATCGCGCCAGCGAGTCACTGCTTCTTCGCCCACGCGTCGAGCCACTGCAAGCCGCATACGGCCGACCCACCTGGCGGCGTTTATTTCACCTACATACCATCGGGTAACGCGCCAGCTCGAACGCAATTGGATGGCGTTCAAAATGACCAAATTTGGGCATAAACACTAATAGTTTATAATAATAATAACTTCAGCAGTATAGAAAAATTAAAGCTTCAACCTCAGAGGCTATCATGTAGAAATTATTTTGTTTTTTTTTTATTTCTTATTAAAAGAAAAAAATTGTCACAAGCTCTGAAACAAATTAGCATGAAATATATACATATAACAGTATAACTATAACAGTGGTAGAGCCACGCGACAGCTTTTGCTGTCGCACGGATGGGCAGGCTCGAACCGGGGTGGTACCACGACCTCACAGAATACCAGCGTGAAGTAGAGGTTTACCTCTGCGTTGTGCTTGGTGAGTGCAGGTGGCTAGAGGCTCAATCCCCCCCCCCATCAACATGGTAGGGGTAATTAAATAAAAGACTACCCCAGGAGGGTACCAGTACCCTTGGAGAATCCTTCCCTGTTGGACCTTCTGCTGATCTCTCATCAGGACGGATATCAGGTCTCCGTCGATCCTCTGGGCTCTTCGGACCATTGTCTGATCCAGAGTGCGGTGCCACTCACGCTCCGATCGCAGTTGCAATCTGCAGCTTCCGGCCGTGTTTGGCACTATAGGCCGGCTGATTGGCCCTTGGAGGCGGGTTTGTTTCTCACCGGAAGATCCCAGCGTTATTGCCGATTCTGTTGCTGATGTGGTACTTCAGGGTATGAAACTTTTTATTCCATTCTCTGTGGTTGCCCATCGGAGGTAGATCCCAACCATGGTTTGGTCGCTCCTGTAAAATAGTATCACGCGATAAGCAGGAGTGCTACCGGACCTGGGCTGATGCATCACAGTCTCGGGATGTAAACACCAGCGTTCCAAAATCAGTTTTTTTGATTTTTCTGTCAAAAAATTCTTAGTGCCAGCCCTGAACCATGAACACATTTCACCTGATTGTAAGTTGTGAAAGCTGTGGAGCATAAACATCTATCCCCGATTAAAAGTTAAAATACAGACGCGTTGTCCCCCCCCCCCCCCCCTCTCCCTCTTAGACTGAGATGGAATGCTTCTTTTCTAGTAAAAAAGTATTTTTGGTTATAAACACCCACCACACAAAGCACAGGAGCGTTAAGTTGTTATTTCACGTTGGTATTCTATGAGAGATTGATCAAATAGAGAAAGCACCTGTGCTTGCGCACATCAACAGTGGTAGAGCCACGCGGCAGCTTTTGCGGTCACATGGATGGGCCGGCTCGAACCGGGGTGGTACCACGACCCCACAGAAAACCAGCGTGTAGTAGAGGTTTACCTCTGCGTTTCGCTTGGTGAGTGCAGGTGGCCGGAGGCCCTTTTTACTGGAAATGAGGCATTCCATCTTAGTCCTCACGGGTGACAACGCATCTACATTTTGATTTGTAATAGAGGATAGATGTAGATGTCTATGGGCCGCAGCAAGCACTTACCATCAGGTGGACTGTGTGCTCGTTTGTCACCCTTATCCTATAAAAAAAATCCTCGTGCGATATAATCTTATCCCGCACAGATCTCCATTAAAACCAAATTCGGTCTGGAGAATAACAAATTATAATATATAATTAAAAAATAATTTATTTGAATATTTTTATATTGGTGCTAGAACCATGCTGCAGATATATTATGGCTTAGCACCAATGAGTTGGCTCCACAAGAGTAGGATCTTGTCTCACAGAATAATAGCGTAAAATAGCCGCTTAATTCTGCTTTGTTTTGTATAATGAGCGTAAATAACCAGAGAATTCTTCCTTACTGGAAACAAGGCAATCCATCTTAGTCAACAGGGGTGACAACGCATCTGCATCTTAGAACTATACTACACGGGCGATTTTCCCGCCGCGGGAATCCGCTCGACAAAGTTCCCGCAAACCAGCAAACTACACGGAACGCGGTTTACCGCTGTTTTGCGTTCATTTTAACATGGATCCGCCAATGATAACTGCGCTTGCAGCTCTAATATTATTAGAATTATTAAAAAATAAAGTTAACCGCAATGTTTGTGTGGAACCAGTGTTAAGTAACCGTTTAACTTCGGGAATATTTCATTCAATGTTTAGTGCACACCGTGATAACCCTCATAAGTTTTTCTCTTATTATAGAATGTCTGTGAACTCATTTGATGAACTTCTATCAATTATAAGCCAACGTATTAAGAAACAGGATACAAATATGCGAAGATCCATCACACCTGCGGAACGTTTGGCTGTAACTCTCAGGTAAATAAAATATCATTATTTTATTATGTAATCTTTTTTATTAGGGTAAGTAATGCAGAACATTAAAATAATCATCATTTTCCGTTGATGTGTCCGACCCAGTATCGTTTTGTGGCGATGCGACACTAGTCATTGGAGTTAATGTGTCCTCGTGATATGCTCTAGACCCAGAACTCGCAGATGGCTCCTGGTTCCTATGGTAAAGAAACTCAGACAAGTTGCTAGGAATACTGCGGTTTCTTTCGTTTCTTTGTATATTTCTGAATAAATTCGTAATTTCATATCTCGTTTCCATAGCCAAATTAGGAGTCATGGAATCCATAATGGGTACAAAGGACATAAGAAATGCTCGATTTCCTTTTGCGTCACTATCGTTATTTAACTTTTGTAATTGTAAACTTTCATTTAAAATTTTTGTTATTTGCGGAATTCGGGTACTTTCCATTTGTTTCTTTCTTCTGGTAGGAACTCGGTTTTGTCGCGGTGGTCTCATCAAATTATCTTCTTCAAAATCCTGATTTTGTGATGAATTCGAAGGTATTGGAGATACGTTTGACTCACGTTCTTCGGCAATACTGACGCTAGCGCGTAAAAAGGACAACAACTCATAATAAATATATCGTTTCTTTTATGAAGCTGATTGTCCCGACACTGTGATAGTTTCTAAATTTACTTCTTTTTTATAACTATCTCTTATATTCTTCCACTTCTTCATTAGGTCCTTTACTGCAAATAAGAAATGTATTATTAATATGGCATTTATTTATTTTTCAGATATTTGGCTTAGGTAGCAAATTTCACTGATTTGGAGTACGATTTTCAAATTTCTCGAAAAACTATACCATTCATTGTAAAAGAAACCTGTCAAGCTATTAGTCAAGAATTAGCACCTTTAGAGATGCCAAAACCAAATAAGGAAAAATGGATAAACATTGCTGAGAAATTTTACAAAGAAGCGAACTTTCCTAATTGCGTTGGAGCCATTGACGGCAAACATATTAGAATTGTTTGCCCTCCGAATGCTGGATCTAAATATTATAATTATAAAAAATATCATTCGATTATTTTATTGGCAGTGGTTGACGCAGACTACTGTTTTACATTCATTGACATTGGTGCTCCAGGTCGAGAAAGTGACTCTTCAATTTTTAAAAGTTCAAATTTCGGGCAAAAGTTAACTCGTTCTCAATTGGATTTACCGGAGCCAATTGATCTTCCTAACAATATAGGAAATCTTCGTGTGCCTTTTGTATTTGTAGGTGATGCTGCATTCGGTTTAAATAAAAATGTTATGAGACCATTTTCTTTACGAAACATAGACACGCCTAAGAAAACTTTTAACTATAGACTGTCTAGAGCCCGCCGCTTTGTGGAATGTGCATTTGGTATCCTTAGTAACAAGTGGCGAATTTTTCATTCAAGCATTATAATCAATCCACAGAGTGCAAAATACATTATAAAAGCTGCTTGTGTATTACACAATTTCGTAAGACGCAGAGATGGTTATCAATTTGAAGATACAATTCGATGTGATATGGAAGAATTCGACGAAGTCCAAGCAGTTGGAGGCCGATCTAGTGGCATTTCAGTAAGAGATTCGTTTGTTCAATATTTCAATGGCCCTGGAGCGGTTCCTTGGCAAACCAGGATGATACATTAAATTAAGAAATAAAATAATAAGTAAACTTACCAGCTTTGTTTTTTTCTTCTGGGCCTAAATCAGCCCAATGAGCAACCACTTCCTGTCCTATCTCCATCCATAACTTCGCTTTTAATTCCCGATTGGCGTATTCCTTCGACTTCACTTCATATAAAGTAGGTCTTTCTTGTACTTCAATAATAAAACGCTCCGTGTCGAACATTTTGACGCGCCACTAGCCACGCAAGCGCACACACGACGAGCGAGCGAGAAGGTCCCGCGCAGAATGACGCAATAGCGGATAACCGCCCGTGTAGTTTTAAACGGCGGTTAACAGCGGCGGTTTGACGCTGCATGCGGCGGTCGAATTTCTCCCGCCTGCAAACCGCGGCGGGAAACCGCGCAGTGTAGTTTGTGGCATACAATGTCCATATAAAATTGAGTCTAGTGCGGTTCAGAAGCGGGTTCCCGCGGCGGCAGAACCGCCCGTGTAGTATAGTTCTTAGGTGTTAATCGAGGACAGATGTATATGTCTATGAACCACAGCATCCATTGTGTCCTCGTTAGTCACCCTTATTTATTAAAAAAATCAATTCTAAAAGCAAATTTTTTAATAAATATATTTTTTTGCGTAAATTTTGCTCGGTTTATTTCTGTGTGAATTTTGCTCGGTTTATTTCAAGGTGAATTTTGCTCGATTCCCTTTGATCGAAAGTAGTGCTTTTCAAATAAGTATTACGTTACACATCGTAAATAATAATAAGCTTAATATTTGCCGAGTCCCAATTTTCCGCCTAAATTCAACTTGCACGGCTTATTAATATGCTAATTTACCAAGTTCGTAACAAACTTCATTTATTTAATGATAATGGTCCGCACTGTACTGCAATTAGATGTTATAATAATATTCGCTTTAAGATTTATATTCGTATAATTAACTTTAGGAATATAAGAATTAAGACATGCAGGAAATCGATGGACGCTGGCGGCTCAGGACCGTGATTTTTGGCATTCCTTGGGATAGGCCTGTGCTCAGCAGTGGACTTGTGAAGGGCTATAATGATGATGACGATGACGATGTATACGACTATTATAAGGGGTTGTGCACTGAAATCTATTCCCGTGCAGTTAGGTAGAGAATATTATAGACAGTGCTTTAGCACACTATAATCTCGACTCTTGCACTATATTCCAGTCCTGTGCAGATGCTAGACTCCGGCGAGAATGGCCTTCGGTTGGAAAATTCGGTTTAAAAGGTATTATTATTATAAATAATAACATTATATTTCATATTAAAATAGTAATAAATATATAATATATATTTATTTATACTCATTTATTTATCATATTAGGCCTCATTTTTGCCTAGGAGTTCTTCTTTGTACATAACACCCTTTTACATGTTTCTGCTGCCAATTTTTAACCATAAGGAATCCAAAATCGTAATCTTGACTTCATACGTGATATAGTTACACTTTAGTATATAATAGTTGTAGCACGAATGGGTCGGCTTGACCGGAGATCATCCACGATCTCGCAGATTACCAGAGTGTAATAAGAGCTTAATGCTGCTGTGTATCATTTGGTGCGTGTAGAGAACCGAAAACATTTTTTACTGGAAACGAGGCATTTCATCTTAGTCCTCAGGGTTGATAACCCATTTCCCAGATTCTTAACCGAAAATGGAGGTAGACGTCTACACACAGCGTCCACTTACAATTAGGTAGACTGTGTGCTCGTTTGTCACCCTAATTATATATAAAAAACCTGTGGGTGTTGTCATAGTTTACTTTGGAAAAGATATTCTGATAGAAGTCGGTATAGCCATCTCTTATCCCTAGGAACTACATGACTCTTAGATGCAAGTTGCGCGTGTATTGCAATTAAAGAAAGAACTATTTCGTGCGTAATTTTCAAAAATAAAGAAAGATAAATTAAGATAAGGCGATTTGCAGCTCGTGAATGCATTTATCACTTTCAAATTTTTGATGTAAACAGAAAACCTTTTATCCCCCTCAAAGTAACCTTTTCAACGGTTGTCGGGACGGTACGAAACCTATTTGTTAACGTCACTTCAGACAGTTTCATGTGATTCTGTATATAACTATATGATGCTAAAATAAAATAGTTTTTCAGTCTTTTTATTAATAAATTAACAAACACGAATACACGCACGCACGCACGCACACACGTACACACAACACACGTATATACAAATTACATTGAATGTTAGTCATGAATATTACCTGAGTGAACGTAATGCGATAGTTTCATACAAGGATCTCGTAGCATATTTAGCACTGCCGATACGGGAATTGCGTTATATTCTATTTCTGCTACTGTAGGTGAATCTAGCGCTTGTGTGCATGATATTAATAAACGCTGCTAGTTCATATTTATTATTAAAAGATAACTCTGGGTGTTTTCATTCTGGATATACAAGGTATACAAGATGGTGATGCTGACATCTGAATTGTGCCATTAGGTTTCATAAATGAAGAAAATCTTAGAATGCTCATTATTGGATATAATAGCATTCTTATATTTTAAATAATCATCTAAATTATAATATCCTTTTTTATTTGAATGCTTTCTGCATGTAACTTGAATTTAAGCTTAGGCAACTAAGTGATATTACTTGAATATTACCCAATTATATACCTACGTTTTGAAAAGTGTCGTACATTTTTTAAATATTTATATAAAGGAGGGGAATACAACTTTACCGTGTAGTGGTGGTGGTGAATATGCATTACCTCATATCGTCCCGTGGCTATCGTAAGTGGCGACAAAGGGAAATAAATCAGGAGGTGGGCAGCAGCGTCTTCCTTATGACGGGCAGACCCAATACTAGCTTGTATTATCATTCTTTGTGGTTGTAGCGCAATATTTGAACATGCTTATTCATGTTCGAGTAAGTACCAATTCAATTTTCTACTATCTACGCTGCGCATAGCGGAGATAATATGATTAAAGTAAATGTACTTTTTTATATAAATAAGTGTGAAAAATAAGCTCACAGCTTTCTTTTTATAAAACGTTACCCCCACACTAGGATTTTTTTCTGCATTGTGAAGGCAATTTACATATATAAATTGCACAATGACAAACATGAAACCTGTGACAATTACTTGTAGGGCATACAAATACTTGTTCCGTGCGAAATTCGAAACCACGGTCTTCAGCACCGTTGCGCACTGCTAAGCCTTATACCACGGACCCGTATTACTCAATGTTCCATATTATATAACTTCAAACAAAGATAAGGACTAATATGGAATGCCTCACAGCCTGTACCTTTCAGACAATAAACCCACTCGAAGCGGTCACCTCGGACCGACTCTACACGTGACGCTAGCAAACGTTCTGTTACGCTGCCACTACACGACAAACTTGATCATTTTAACAAATTACTATTAGGTAACATGAATGACGTTATATCCCCGAAATTCTTCATCGCTGCATTGGAAGACGTTTTCAAGCTACTGGACTGGAAAGGATTCGGTATTAACATCAACGGCGAGTACATCACTCACCTTCGATTTACTGACGATATAGTCCGTATCGCAGAATCTCACATAAGACCTTAACACTATACCCAATGACCTCAAAAGTGCATCCCAAAGGATAGCTTTTAAGATGAAAACAAAGATCATTTATAGCGTCCATGTCACACCTATGCCGGTAGTTTTTGGGAGCACTAAGCTCGAAGTTGTTGAGTATGTTATCCTGGGACTAATAGTCCGACTATGTAAGTCCAACTTCAACCGAGAGGTCAATCGACGGATTCAACGCGGCTGGGCAGCGTTCGGGAAATTACGGCACATCTTCTCGTCGGGTATACCTCAAAACTTGAAAACGAGACTGTATAATCAGCGCGAATTGCCAGTGATGACCCAAGGAACTGAGACGTGGTCCTTCACTGCTGGCCATATGAGGAAGCTCAAGATTGTTCCGCGAGCTATAGAGAGGGCTATACTCAGGGTTTCTCTGCATGATAAACTTAGAAATGAGGATATCCGCAAAAGTACCAGAGTGATTGACACAGCCCAACGGATTAGTCATCAGAAGTGGCAATGGGCCAGCCATATAGCTCAAAGAACCAACAACCGACGGGGAAAAAGGTTCTCAAGCTGCGGCCTCGTACCGGCGAACGTTGTGTTGGGTATCCCCCCACTAGTTGGGGTGACAACAAGACATGCAGGAAGTCTATGGATGCAGGTGGCTCAGGATCGTGCTTTGTGACATTCCTTGGGAGAGGCCTATGTTCAGCAGTGGACTTGTGAAGGGCTGTAATGATGATGAATTAGAATGAACATTTACGTGGTAGAGTCATACTTCAGTTTATTATGACTGTAGCACGAACGGGGCTGCACTAAAAGTATCGGGAATGGAATATTTCCACTGTTCCTGTCATATTAAAATCTTTTTAATCGAAAAGTCCTTGGTTTTAAAAATCGAATACCATTTATTTATTTAAAAAAAGATTCTCGGTCTTGTCACAAGGTTTTGTCAAACTTGTTTAGTCGTTGAGAAAATGGAATTGACTCGAGAAAATTCAAGAGCGATGATTTATTATAATTTTCGAAGTGGTTTAACACAAAAACAGTGTGTTGACCGGATGATTTCTGTATTTGGTGATGAAGCCCCTACCATAACCACAATTTATCGCTGGTTTGCTGAATTTCAACGTGGACGTCAAGCTCAGTGATGATCCCCGTCAAGGTCGTCCAAAAACTGCAGTCACCCAAGAAAACGTTGATGCTGTGCGTAAGCTGATTAAGCAAGATCGACATGTGACATACCGCTAAATTCAGGCAACTGTAGACATTGGCATGAGTCTAATACAAATAATCTTCCATGAACAGTTAGGTATAAAAAAGTTGTTTTCCCGATGGATACCGCATTCGCTATGTGAAGAGTAAAAAGCGGCTCGCGTTACTTGGTGCGTCAGAACTCTCAAAAGATTCCACGCAGGATCCTCAAATGATGTATACAACATCAAATCAGGTGACGAATCCTGTATATATGCCTACGAACCCGAAACAAAAAACCAGTCACGAGTTTGGGTGTTCGAAAATGAGTTAAAGCCAACAAAAATTCTTCGTTCACGGAGTGTTGCAAAAAAAATGGTGGCCACGTTTGTCTCCAAAACCGGCCATGTTACGAGTATTCCTCTTGAGGGACAAAGAACGGTTAATGCAGAATGGTATGCTAGCATTT